ACCAGAAACACATAATACATCCCTTATACACAAATACACACTGCTTCCACTACACACAAACACACTGCATCACCTGCACAAACTGGTAACCCTAAACACTACATACCATAAGCACACATATTAGATCCTCTACAATAACACATAACACATCCCCTACACACTCCACTCTCTGTGAGTGAACTCATGGGTGGGTAGAACTTATGAGTGGGCCTTATGGGCATACTCACCGTCAGGCCCTGGGGCCCAGACCTTGAGCTGTGTAAGGGGCCCCAAAAAAATGGAGCTGCTTCCAATTCTCCCAGAACATTGAATTTTGTGACCACAGTTGCAAACAGCTCCAGAGATCCTGTTCTACACCAGACCAGTGGAGCCAAACTGCAGCCCATCATCATCCTCATCTGCTTGTAAGTAGGCAATCTAGTATATTATTAGTGACACTAATCTATAATTTACCTCACATTAAAGGGACACTATAGCTTAATGAAGTGGTTCTTGTGTCTATAGCTGGTCCCTGCAGGCTTTTTAATGTAAACACACACTGTGTGCAGCACTGGCGTTAGTTCATATGGCTGATCATATGGGTGGGGCATTGTGATGTGACATGTGGGGGCAGCAAATTTTTATTTTGTCTAGGGCGGCAAAAATCCTTGCACCGGCTCTGATCCTGGGTAGGTGCACCAGTCTACTTGACTGGTTTTGCCCCCCAGGCCTAAGGCTGCCAGCCCTCCCCTGGCCGCTGGGGAGGTCTTTTGGCGGCCGCTGGCGGACTTGTCCTGGCGGCCGCTGGGGGAGCTGCGCTGGCTCTGCTCCCCAGCACGCAGCTGAATGAGACCGGCGCCGGAATATGACATCATATTCCGGCGCCAGTCTCATTCAGCAGCGCGCGAGGGCGGGAGGGCACTAACACAGGAAGCACCTCTAGTGACCGTCTGAGTGACTGTCACTAGCAGTGTCACTTTAAATCAATGTAAACACTGCCTTTTGTCTGAAAAGTCAGTGTTTACGTTGAAAAGCCTGTAGGGACATGCTATGACACCAGTACCACCACATTAAGCTGTGTGTGTGCATCTGCTAGTGAGTGAGCTTGCTTGCATGCGTGTGCCTGCTAGTGAGTGAGCTTGTGTTTTTATGTCAATGAGCTGATGTATATAAGTAAGATTGTTTGTCTATGAGGCTGTGTATCAATGAGCTTGTGTGTGTCACTGAAATGTCAGTGAAATTGCCTGTGTCTGCATGTGCGTATGCTTACTGTATAATTAAACGTTTTACCCTGAAAGGACCAATATTTTATATTAGAAAAGGCTATATATATATATATATATATATATATATATATATATATATATATTACTCAATCATCTGTCCTGGCAAGACATAGCCTTACATATTACACGCGACAATATATGGCGCAGTGACTTATGGGGCTGGCACAATTTTTTTTTCCAGGGCTGCTTTGTATCCCCAGTCCGGCCCTGCCTCCTACCACTTGTGCTATTGCTGAGAGGTGCAGGAGGGCAGGCTGCTTGTCAGTGCACAGCTCTTCTGCTCTCCCAGCACTGGACACAGGAGACAGGATAATGGAGCCCCCATTACTTACTCCGACAGTAGGTAAGCAGGAGGAGAAGGGGTTATTAGATTTGTATATGTGTTAGAGTATGTGCTAGTATACTGGTATCAGTGTGTTAATATGTGTATATGTATGTGTGACAATTTGTATCTCTGTGTTAGTCTATGTATGTATGCCAGTGTGTGGGTATGCATATTATGTGTCTGATATTGTATTTGTGTGTCTGTGTCTATGTATTCATGTAAGTTTATGTATTATGTGTATTAGTTTGTGTCGATGATTGTGTGTTAGTGTGTGTATTAATGTGTGCCTCTATGCATATCAGATTGTATTAATGTATACATGTTAATGTGTATGTCAGTATGTATATGTTAGTGTATATCTACATATTCATATTAGAATGTGTGTATGTATGTTTCTGTGTCTATGTGTGAACATGTTCCTAATTAGATTGGGATATCTGGCAGTTAAGTTGTGAATTTTGTGGACATGTAGACATGGTTAAATACATGCATGTGAATGGACATCTCTGTATATATGTTTAAATGTTTTCATTTGCTAGCATGTTATGTACGTGTGGCTAATTATGTATATGTTTGTATAAATGAAGGTAAGGATTTTACTCACATCAAGCTTTAGTGCTGCCACATTGGTGTTCACATAATGCTTTGTTTGCTATCATGTTACAATTCCACTAACAATTTTAAGCAAAAAAAAGAAACGGCCTGTGGAAAAAAAAAAAAAGATAGACGCAGTACAGTGGCGTACTAAGGAGGTGCAGGTGGGGGAGGGAGCAGTCCGCCACGGGTGTTATTAATTAGGGGGGTGCCATCCAGAGCCAGGGATGTGTCATGTGTAATCTGTGCGGCCGCACAGTGCCCCATGGAATCTGGGGCATTGGGTGGCCAACACAGCTCGCACGTGCAGAGGCCAGCAATTGCTTAAAAACTGACCACACGGAAGGAGAGTTGAGACGGAGCTAATAAAGTCATGGGCGGGGCTTAACACGGCCCTCACCCACTGCTGTTACTGCTGCACATGGAGGGAAGCAAGAAGTAATCCATGCTTCCCCAACTTACAGACGCCAGGGAAGGATTTCAGGGAATCCACTCCTCCTCCAGCCCATACTGTCTGTAAGAGAGAAAGTGTGTGTGTGTGTGTGTGTGTGATGGTCCTCTTTAAACTGTGTTTGAGTGTATGTGACTGTCTGCCTGTAACTGTGTATGTATGACTGCCTGTGAGTGTGTGTGTGACTGTCTGCATGTGACTGTATGTGTGACTGTCTGCCAGTAACTGTGTGTGTGAGTGCCTGGCTACAACTGCGTGTGACTGCCTGTAACTGTCTGTGTGTGCCTGTGTAACTGTGTGTGTGACTGCCTGTGACTGTATGCATGTGACTATGTGTGTGTGACTGTCTGCCTGTGATTGTGTGATGCTGCCTGTAACTGTGTGTGACTGCCTGTGACTGTGTGCGTGTGACTGTCTGCCCGTAACTGTGTGTGTTTGTCTGCCTGTAACTGCGTGTGTTTGACTGCCTGTAACTGTTTGTGTGGGGTGTGCAGGGATTTTGTAGAAGGAGTCAGGGGTTTTGTATTGGGGCAGGGGTCTTGTATACAGATGGCTGAGCAGAGGATTTGTTGAAGGGTGGTGCATGTGTTTTGTTGACGGGGGCAGTACAGGGGTCTGTAGAAGGGGGATGTCAGGGGTTTTACAAAGTTTACGAATTTACGAATGCAATATATGAAAAAAACATTTTTTTAATTTTGCGGATGTTTTTTTAAAAAACATTTTTGGAGGGGGGGGGGGGTTAGTGTCAAACACAGGATCCTCCCTTGGTGCCAAATGCTTAATGTATGCCTCTTTGCGCAGAGTGAGGTTTTAACAGAAATAAAAATCTTTTTTTAGCAGTTGGGGCAACAGACCCATTCTGGCACATGGACTAGTCATTGACATAACTGAATATAAAGAGGAAATGTATCATTCTTGAAATGCATCCTTGGCTAGTATTAGTAACACTGAGGGCACTAGAGTATGACATTATACCTGAAACCTTTAATCAGAGTCTACTAGAAGGAGAGTTTGGCACAAGTGATAGAGATTTCTTCACCATTGGTCATTAGGTAAGAACTTTTTATATACTTATTTATTTTGCACATATTTCTTTCTCTGAGGTTGAGGTAACTAGGTGTCACGTAGTAAAACTCCAACATGCAGAGTTAAGGATAAAGGAGAGACAGCAAAAACAAGAACGAGCCAGAGTCAGGTACACAGTAATAGGGAAACAAGACAGGCAAGGGTTAAAGACAAACTCAGTCAGAGTCAGGAACAAAGTCAAATGTCAATATCAGATTAAACACAATTAATCAAAGAACACACTAAAGGGTACTTTGAACAGAAACCACAAAAGGGCACAGCAGATAGGACCAGAAAGGTTTAAATACCTTTAAGTGTGTTCTGATTGGTCCGTGTCATGCCTGCTACTCCAAAACTTGTGTGTATGGAGGCAATTGAATAACGTGGACCAATGGTTGCCAGAAGTGACATGGAGCTACCACTGCCCCTTTAAGTACGTGCTCTGTATGCAAGCAGCATTCTCTCTTATTACATTCGACCCGCGCAACCGATCATACTAATTAGTGTGTGTGGCCTGCTCCAAAGCAGGAGTGCTAGTGGAGGATTCTGGCCAGCACGAGGAACGGGTAACCCTACACCAGGATAATAAAAGGCTTATGATTTCACTTGGGAAGTTTTTGTTTAAGATAGAGGCTCATGGTAATGGAAATGCTTTTTCAGAATTACTTCTTTCATCATAATTCTTCAGATCCTATGAATCAACTGCACCTTAAAGAACTGTGGATGCAGTAATGATGTAGTTTAAAGAATAATACTGGCAAATAAGGCAGAGGTGGAGTTTAAATTTAATGCATATGATGTAAGTAAAAAAAAATAGTGTATTTAACAAAATTTGCTAAAGTTTATATTAAATACTTTTATTCACAGCTTTCTCTGGCTAGTTGCACATCTTCAACTAATCTAGAGATCTCTAACTGAAATTTAAACTGACTTCTAATTTAGGAAGCTGGCTGATAACTAAGCAGTGTGACTGTTCTTCAGCTGTCCGTCACATTACTCCTCACAGCAAAACGTAAACTAGTTTGTAAGTTTACAAACAACATTGATGACAAACTGAATTCTGATTACAATTTAAATCCTGTTTGACCTGTGCAAGGCATTATAGAGCAATGACAAACATTAATTTGGAATAAATTACAATGTTTATTAAACAAAATTCTGTCTCACGTAGAAATTAATATAGTAGAAGCAATAAATGACAACATATCTTCCATTTGTTGCTGTTTTTACTTCTGCAGCGTCTTTGCAATCACAGTAAGCTGGCTCCTTAGGCTTTCCCTTTTCTCCTTTAAATGGCCTTCCAAAGACCTGGCTTCTTTAAGGATTTCATCAAACTCCTGCACATACGAGGCGTCTACAACAGATTGCTCACTTCACATTAAAAAAAATATATATATATAAATATATTTTTAAAATCTTAACATAAATCAAAAGAAAATAATGTCTAGTGCTGGCAAGTAAAAAAGAAAAATAATACATACAATAAGGACATAGCTCAACATTTTCTATGATAGTAGACTTTCTGTTTACTCCACAAATAATTATGAGAATGAGACCTAATGTCACCCATGTTCCAGTTCCCTGAAACTCCTCTTTAAATTAGAAAGCCCTCTCATAAAACCAGTCATGGTGGAGAAGTACAGAAATCCTCTCCCTTTTTTTAGAACACGCTAACTCATTGTCACCGTATTATATACACAGCAGTGATTAAAGGGAACTCTGACTTGTGTTCTAGCTGCATGCCATTAAATTTAACTCTGATCTCCCTGACAAGTCTACTATCTGTGCAACAACTTGAGGTCATGGAAAAAATCGCACTAAACACCACACATTTATACTTAGGTGTTCAGCTCCATTTCCCCAGATAAGGCAAGTCAATATCTTGTACAGATGCCCCTCGAAGATCCATTTGATAAATTTGCTTGTAATTAATTACCTGTCCATTCAGGGGAGAACAACCACACACACCTAAGACCTACGGGGTGGTTTCTCAGCAACAGGAAGGAAATAAGTGCATAACTGCATAGCACGGACTATCAAGCACCTGTGGGGAGCACGTTGTGATCTTAACTCAAAAACTTCCTGTCATCATAAATTTTGCAGGGTAATTAAAAATACCAAATCTTAGGTTCCCTTTATGAGCTTTGCTGCTTCAGAAAATGAATACAAATCTACAGGCGATACTCAAAAAATTAGAATATCATGCAAAACTTCATTTATTTCAGTAATGCAACGTAAAAGGGGAAACGAATATATGAGATAGACGCATTACATGCAAAGCGAGATAGTTCAAGCCGTGATTTGTCATAAGTGCGATGATTATGGCTTACAGATCATGAAAACAACAAATCCGCAATTTCAGTAAATTAGAATATTGTGAAAAGGTGCAATATTCTAGGCTCACAGTATCCCACTCTAATCAGCTAAGTATGCCATAACACCTGCAAAGGGTTTCTGAGCCTTTAAATGGTCTCTCAGTCTGGTTCAGTAGGAATCACAATCATGGGGAAGACTGCTGACCTGACAGTTGTGTAGAAAACCAGCATAAGGAGGGAAAGCCTCAAAAGGTAATTGTGAAGGAAGTTGGATGTTCCCAGTGCTGTATCAAAGCACATTCATAGAAAGTTATGTGGAAGGGAAAAGTGTGGAAGAAAAAGGTGCACAAGCCTCAGGGATGACCGCAGCCTGGAGAAATTGTCAGGAAAAGGCCATTCAAATGTGTTGGGGACTTTCACAAGGAGTGGACTGAGGCTGGAGTCAGTGCATCAAGAGCCACCACACACAGACAGATCCTGGACATGGGATTCAGATGTCGTATTCCTCTTGTCAAGCCGCTCCTGAACAACAAACAATGTCAGAAGCGTCTTACCTGGGCTAAAGAAAAACAGACCTGGTCTGTTGCTCAGTGGTCCAAAGTCCTCTTTTCTGATGAGAGCAACTTTTGCATCTCATTTGGAAACCAAGGACCCAGAGTCTGGAGGAAGAATTGAGAGGCACTCACTGCAAGACGCTTGAAGTCCAGTGTGAAGTTTCCACAGTCTGTGTTGATTTGGGGAGCCATGTCATCTGCTGGTGTTGGTCCACTGTGCTTCATTAAGTCCAGGGTCAACGCAGCCGTCTACCAGGAGATTTTGGAGCTCTTCATGCTTCCTTCCGCAGACAAGCTTTATGGGGATGCTGACTTCATTTTCCAGCAGGACTTGGCACCTGCCCACACTGCCATAAGCACCAAAGCCTGGTTCACTGACTGTGGGATTACTGTGCTTGATTGGCCAGCAAACCCACCTGACCTGAACCCCATAGAGAATCTATGGGGCATTGCCAAGAGAAAGATGAGAGACATGAGACCGAACAATGCAGAAGAGTTGAAGGCCGCTATTGAAGCATCCTGGTCTTCAATAACACCTCAGCAGTGCCACAGGCTGATAGCTTCCATGCCACGTGGCATTGAGGCAGAAATTGCTCCAAAAGAGGCCCAAAAGAGTCCATATGCATGCTTATACTTTTCCGAGGTCCGATATTGTACACTCCTTGTTTTATTGATTGCATGCAATATTCTAATTTACTGAGATTGTGGATTTGGGGTTTTCATGAGCTGTAAGCCATAATCATCGCACTTATGACAAATCACGACTTGACCTATCTTGCTTTGCATGTAATGCGACTATCTCATATATTAGTTTCCCCTTTTACGTTGCATTACTGAAATAATTGAAATTTTGCACGATATTCTAATTTTTTGAGTATCACCTGTACAGACTTTGACCAACTCCTGTTGGAGGTAGAAACAGAACTGATATATGGATGAAGACGTGCTATGGTGGTAGGAGTAAATTGTTGTTATTAATGGTCCTTTCCCTAACACCAAGTGGGGAATGAATTTAAAATGTGACTACTTGAGGATCTACCCATCTTAAGAGGAACCCATATTTATTTCTAGGACACAATTAAACCAAGTACATGCACATAGGATTTTGGATCCAGGAAATTAGGGCGTGTCAATAAATATATCAAAAGAAGTTGTTAATTATGTAATTAAAATCACAGATTTTTGTGAAGAGTCATATTACTTTATGCTGGTATCAGTGAAAATGATATAGCAATATTATACTATTTATACATACCTCAATGTCCTTGCATACTTAGAAAAAAATAGGTTTATTTCCTTGCTTAAATCTATTAATGAAAACGGAATATTGAATGTTAGTATTGCCATAGTCACAGATGTATTTTTGTTGCAGGGATAGCTCTAAAATAAATATACCTTTTATTATACTTTCTATATCACCAAATTGAGGGTTGTTTGAATGAATTGAAGATGGCTTTGCTGATGAGGAACTGTGCAGAATCTCTGAATCCTTAATCTATAACATAATTGATAAAAAAAACTTACTGTCATGGCCAACGGTATAACTGAATTATCTCACAAAACACTGTTAGGGTTATTCACTTATAGGACCAATATAGGGTCAGGAATACAAACAAACATTGTGGAGCACTGGCCCAGGAAGCACCTTTAGTGGTTGTCTGAGCATCTACCACTAGATGTGTCCCCAGGGAGCAATGTAAATACTGCCTTTTTTTGAGTCATAATTCTTGCAAAGCATCAGGAGAGATGTAGTCTACAGCATCTGGAGTGCTTAAGATTACAATCCAAATGTCTAGAAGTGGCCAGTGAAATTCATATTTCAGGCCAAATCAGAAAACAAAAATCTCCACCTCAGGTGTGTTTCAAGTTTAGCAATTTTGCTCTGACAGGGTTATTTACTGAAATGAGAATTCAAGTGAAATCAAAGTGAATCCTCTGTCACTGATAATGAATGGATGATTGTAGACTATTTGACACACACGAGGTGGTGCCCCATTTGGTATTTTTATATATTTCTTTCAGTTTGTAATCAATTTATTTTTCTTATCCATTGGAACCTAACAGGGTTATTCACTAAAGTGAGAATTGAAAGTTAATTTTAATTTAGAAGCCAAAATAGCTTAACTGGAATCATACCTGACTACAGCTGTGCAAAGTTAGTGTCAAACCATCTTTAAGTGTTTTGACAAAGTAATTCTCTCCTGGTGCCTACAAAAATATGTCTAGTAAATTTCATATCTGGAGAAAGACTGCGGCAATACACAGCATATACTACCCAAGCAATATTGAAAGAAAACTCAAAATTCTATGAGGGCACTGGGTGAGGTCATATCAGCGTACAGGGACATATCAGGCTTTAAGGCGAACATGACAAAATCTAGCGAACTCCCCATAAAAAAGTGTGAAACAGATATTGTCCAAACACATGAAACACATCACATCAAGATAGAAACGCGCTCCCTTAAAGGGACACTATAGTCACCCAGACCACTTCAGCTCAATGAGGTGGTCTGGGTGCCAGGTCCCTGCCTGCTGTAAACATAGCGGTTTTAGAGAAACTGCTATATTTACATTTGGGGTTAAGCCAGCCTCTAGTGGCTATTTTCCGGACAGCCAATAGAGGCGCATCTGCGATGCTGGAGGCATAGTATGCCTCCATCACGCAGAGCGTCCATAGGAAAGCATTGAGAAATACTTTCCTATGGTCACTTTGAATGCGCGTGCGCCGTGCCGCGCATGCGCATTCCGTTCCGCTGATGTCAGACGGGGTAGCTGACGTTGGCAGGGGAGGAGAGGTAAGGGAACCCGGCGGTGGATTAAGATGAGTAACTGAAGGGGTTTTAACCCTAACCCTAACGACCTATACTCCTGCAACTACACGCCACTATACACTCTAATAAGTGACATGGAATGGTGGACCGACAAAACAATCTACTGGATAGGAAGGATCCACTTTGTGAAGATGAATATTTTGTCAAGAGCCCTGTTCCTCTTCCAGGCATTGCCGGTACCCCTAACCAAAGCTCAACTGAACCCGCTTCAATGGGCAATGGGAAACTTCGTGTGGCAGAATAAAAAACACCGCATATCTAGACATATCCTGTACTGACATAAAGTGAGAGGAGGTCTCGGGCTCCCAAACTTATTTTACTATTATGCAGCGGCACAGTGGGTTCAGATAGTGTTGTGGCATTCACCCCCTGATAAACGGAAATGTGTGGAGATAGAATCACTCATGATGGGTGCAGACCTCCTCCAGTTTGCGATGTGGGTCCCCAAGGAACATAGGCCTTTAATTAGGGACACTTGCCCGGCAATCTTGAATTCCCTCAGACTGTGGGATACTTGCGGCCCGAAATTTGGCCTGGCGTCCTTCCCCTCCCCCTTCATGCCGCTGTTACGCAACAGGGCATTTTACTCTGGTATAGAGGCCAAGAACTTTAGGAATATCGAACGCGCAGGCCTCCAGAGGATCATTCACCTATACAGGGGCATGGAGATAATCACTTTTGATGAACTCAAACAGGGAAGACACCTCACACCTAACAACTTTTTTAGATATTTACAGATTAAAGACTTTGCCAGACAGCCTCACATAAAAACTTTAGCACACAAGAAGCTGACTTTTTTCGAATCTATGTGCGACTCAGGGACTATACCAAGAGGACTCATACCACAACTTTACACACACTTATGTTCGGAGACCCGGGAATGGGGGGTATTGACCTATATCACCCAGTGGGAAAGGGATCTGGGGGAGGAACTTGAGGGAATAGAATGGCAGGAAATATGGGAAGCTAGCAGAACCACCTCCATGTGCGTGACATTGCAGGAACAGTTCTTTAAAGCGATGTTACAATGGTATACGACCCCAGTCAAACTATTTAAGATGAACAAAACCACTACAGACGACTGTTGGAGGGGGTGTGGGGAAAAAGGGTCATACCTACATATGTGGTGGGAATGTTCGAAGATAGCCAGGTTTCGGAGGGCGTTGAGGGACCTCCTGACACAAGTGTTTTCCAGAGCCCCGGACCTAGACCCCTGGGTATACCTCTTGAATAGACCTATGGACGGGTGGACAAGAAGGAAGCAAAAATTGATCCACAAAATCACCCTGGCCGCAAGGCGAGCAATAGCATTTACGTGGTTACAACCTGAAGTGCCACACATAGCGAGTGTAATAACGAGGATTAGAGAAGCACGGTTAATGGATGACCTGACGGCTAGGATGCGGGGGTCCACCGGAACATTCCAGAGGCTATGGGAGCTGTGGGACGAGAGCCCACTGAATACTTAAAACTCGAAGGGCGCCTCTGTGCGTGCCCCACTTGGTCCCCTCGCCCTTCCCTCCTCCTACCCGCCTGCGCCTAACCGCTCCGCCTTTTCTTTTCTTTCCTTTTCTTCTTACATCTTCTATTCTCATTCCATTCCTTCAATCTCTACTTACACTTTCTACTTATCAGATAACATGGCCCTTTAATACAGGGCACGTGGAATAAGGCGTAAAGGTACAAATAGAACTGTAATCTATCTACGAGAAAGAGCAAGCTACACTATGCAAAAGATAATGTTTATGTTGCCATAGTACCTGGTTAAACGTTTAAATAACAACAACAAAAATTGTAAAATGTGCATCTATGTAAAGCCAGACACAGAAAGTCTCCTGTACAATATTGATTATATGCAAGATATGTGCTTGGCATTGTCAGCTTAGATTTATGTATTGCACAACAAAAATAAAGAATTTAAAACAAAAAAAAGAAGACCCAAATTGATTTTTTTAAATTGATTTTTACAAATTAGTAGATATTACACAATAAAAACATGCATGATTTTAATAATGTATTTTTACACTGGTGCTATATATAAAAACTACTTGTTAAATCTGCAGATCTCTTGTCTAAAGTCTTTGCAAGCCCTCCCCTTCTAGCTGGACCAGACACCCAGACCACTTCATTAAGCTGAAGTGGTCTGGGTGCCTATAGTGGTCATTTAAGCGAAAGTGGTTTAGGTTTTTGAAGTGTCTATTTAACATGACAATCAATCCAGACCGTAAAAATCAGTTAATGGCAATATATTTAGATATCTAGAAACATAGAATATGATGGCAGATAAGAAGCCTTTTGCCTATCCCATGCATGCTTAAATCCTTCACTGTGTTAACCTCTACCACTTCAGTTATTATTATTATTATTATTATTATGATATTTATAGAGCGCAGTCAAATTCCGCAGCGCTATACAATGGGTGGACGAACAGACATGTAGTTGTAACCAGACAAGTTGGACACACAGGAACAGAGGGGTTGAGGGCCCTGCTCAATGAGCTTGCATGCTAGAGGGAGTGGGGTATAGTGACACAAAAGGTAAGGGAAGTATTAGACTCATGACAGTTACAAGAGAGGAATCAGTCAGGAGCTATTAACAGTTTAATTGATACGCTTTTATGAAGAGGTGGGTTTTTAACGATTTTTTGAAGGAGTGGAGACTGGGTGGGAGGAGGGAAGCGAGTTCCACAGGAACGGTGCAGCCCTCGAGAAATCTTGAAGGCGAGCATCAGTTGGAAGGCAATTCCATGCATCCACTACCCTCTCAGTAAAGTAATACTTCCTGATATTATTTTTAAACGTTTGCTCCTCTAATTTAACACTTCTTGTGGAATAAATCTTAAATTAGAGGGGCAAAGGTTCGCAAACCAAATTTGTTAATGCATTCTTATTTTTAAAATTACCAAGGGCTGGTATTATGAGAGCACATTTACTTCAATTTAAAGTTATAAAACAACATGCTATAGTTTTACTCAAAAATGTCCTTACCTCAGTATCCTTTTTGCGTTTAAAACTTTTATTTTCATCAGAATTCTGAGCCTTACTTGCCATTGTCACCTGCAGGAACTGAAAACTATAAACATAAATGACATTAAATGTTTTGTGTATTCCTGATAATCAGAAACATATTAATTTGCACTGAGCTGATATAAGACTTAAAGAGACAGTCATCAGCACTTTTATAAACTGGGATTAAACTAGAATACTCCTCACCCAGCCAGTCTCCCTGCAGCTGGCCCCATCTATATGGCTGAGATAATCAAGTTTGATGATCTTTGCCAATCCAATACTTTGCCATAGGAAAGCACAGAGAAGCTATTGCGCATGCGCTTCAAAACGCTTGGCCAATCAGCATCTTCTCATAGGGATGCATTTAATCAATGCATCTATATGGGGAATGTTCAGTGCCTCCATGCAGAGCGTGAAGGAGCTGAATGTAGGTGCTGCATACCATGCAGCACTGGGATAGTAAGCACATTAGTGGCTGTCTGAGTGACTGTCACTCAGGGCCGTCTTTCCCCATGGGCACGCTGGGCAGTTGCCCGGGGTCCGCACAAGCATGGCCAGTGTGCACCGCGTTGACCAGTGTGCCTGGCTGACAGGGGAGACCCTTTGATCTCCCCTGACAGCCCATGGAGAGCTGGCCCTGCCCTCTTGCCAGGGGCCCTCTCGGGCCGGTGAGGAAGTTTCTCCCTCAGCGGCCCAAAGGCCCTCCGTTAGAGAAGAGAGGGAGGACCCGGAGGCAGGGGGAAGGACCTTGCGCGAGCAGGCTGTGTGGAGCATTGTTGCACGTTGCCATGGCAACGCTCCAGACAGCATTCTGCGCATGTGAGGACAGGAGACAGCCTGCAGCCAGAGGAGCTGCAGGCTAAACAGAACTAACTACCGGACCACCAAGGCTGGTTGTGTCCCCTCCCTCCTTTACTAAAGGTAAGAAGAAAGGAGGGGACATGAAGATTTTAATAATCATTTTTTATTATTATTATTATTTTTAAATGATTAAAAAAAAATAATAAACATTTGCTCCCTGCCCCCTCACACTCTGCAAAACACACACACAGCACCATCTCTCTCACAAACACTGCACCCCTTATACACAGACCTCTCACACACACACAGCACCCCTTATACACAGCTCCTTCTCATACACACACACAGCACCCCTAATACATAGCACTCATTACACACACACAGCACCCTTCACAAACACACACACACACAGCACCCTTCATAAACACACACACTGCACCCTCTCACACACATCACCCCTCAAAAACACACTGCACCACTCACACACACACATATACACCGTACCCCTCACTGCAGTCTGGTAGTATTCAGCATTCTGGGAGTATTTAGCAGTGTGTGTGTGTTTGTATTCAGCAGTCTGGGTGTATTTAGCAGTCTCTGTGTATTCACCAGTGTGTGTGTGTATTTAGCAACTTGTGTGTATTCAGCAGTCTGTTTGTGTGTACTCAGCAGTCAGTCAGTGTGTGTATTCGGTAGTCTGTGTGTGCGGGTGTATTCGGCAGTCGGTGTGAGCGCGTGTATTCGGCAGTCGGTGTGTGCGTGTATTCAGCAGTCTGTGACTATTTTCAGCAGCCTGTGTGTATGTATGTATTGCATTTGGTGAAGGTACCAATATATAAGCTTAAATTTATCGATAATTTACATTATTATTTCTGTGAGTTGTTGTGCAGACAGGGCCTGCACTACTTTGCCCAGGGGCCCATAATTCTATTAAGATGGCACTGCTGCCACTAGAGGTATCATTAGTATAAACACAACCTTTTCTCTGACAATTCAGTGTTTACATTGGAAAGCCTGCACGGACAGGCTATAGACACCAGAACCACTACATTAAGCTGTAGTGGTCCTGGTTACTATAGTGCCTCTTTAAAACATTTATTTTTGCAGTTGAAAAGTAAGTTTAAAAAACCTGGTTCCTAACTTTTTTAGCTGTCTCCTAGATTCAAAGCAAATTTGTTCGGCTTGTGGTTTATATAAAGTATGTGGTTTATAAAGAGCCTGTGGTTTATATAACGCTTGCGGTTTATATAAAGTATGTGGTTTATAAAGAGCCTGTGGTTTATATAACGCTTGCGGTTTATATAAAGTATGTGGTTTACACAGAGCTTGTGGTTTATATAGAGTCCGTGGTTTATACAGAGTATGCGTTGTATATAGACTCTGTGGTTTATACAGAGTCAGTATGTTTTTTATAACACTTGCGGTTTATATAAAGTATGTGGTTTATACAGAACCTGTGGTTTATATAAAGTCTGTGGTGTATACAGGGTATGTGGTTTATACAAAATATGTGGCTTGTACAGAGCTTGTGGTGTATACAGAGTCTGTGGTTTATATAGTCTGTGGTTTATACAGAGTCTGTGGTTTATATAAAGTCTGTGGTTTATTCAGAGTATGTGGTTTATATAAAGTCTGTGGTTTATACAGAATCATCATGTTTTTTTATAACACTTGCGGTTTATATAAAGTATGTGGTTTATACAGAGCTTGTGGTGTATGCAGAGTCCGTGGTTTATATAAAAAATGTGGTTCATACAGAGTCTTTATGTTTTTTTATAACACTTGCGGTTTATATAAAGTATGTGGTTTATAGAGCCTGTAGTTTATACAGTCCGTGGTTTATACAGAGAATATAGTTTATATCAGTGGTTCCCAAACCAGTCCTTGTGGCCCACCAGCAGTCCAGGATTTATGTATTTCCCTTTATTATTCCAATGGAGATACTAACAAAACCTGGACTGTTGGTGGGTCTTGAGGACTGGTTTGGGAAACGTTGGTTTATATAATTTGTGGTGTATACAGAGTATGTGGTTTATACAGAACCTGTGATTTATACAGAGTATGTGGTGTATATAGACTATGTGGTTTATACAAAGGTTTGTGGCTCATATATAACGCTTGCGGTTTATATAAAGTACGTGGTTTATACACAGTATGTGGTTTATACAGGGTCTGTGGTTTATACAGAGTATGTGGTTTATACAGGATAAGTAGTTTATATAGAGTATGAAGTTTATACAGTATATAATTTATATAATTTGTGGTTTATACAGAGTATGTGGTTTATACCGAGTATGTGGTTTATACAGGGTATGTTGTTTATATAGAGTATATGGTTTATACCGAGTATGTGGTTTATACAGTCTGTGGTTTATACAGAGTATGTGGTTTATACAGTATGTGGTTTATATAGAGTATATGGTTTATACAGAGTATGTGGTTTATACCGAGTATGTGGTTTATACAGTCTGTGGTTTATATAGAGTATGTGGTTTATACAGTCTGTGGTTTATATAGAGTATGTGGTTTATACAGTCTGTGGTTTGTATAGAGTATGTGGTTTATACAGTCTGTGGTTTATACAGGGTCTGTGGTTTATACAGAGTATGTGGTTTATACAGGGTAGGTAGTTTATATAGAGTATGAAGTTTATACAGTATACAGTTTATATAATTTGTGGTTTATATAATTTGTAGTTTATACAGTATATAGTTTATATAATTTGTGGTTTGGTACATAGCCTGTGTTAGTCACAATATGGCCGCCCCTTCCCTCACCTTGCTCTGTGTCTGTGAGGGAGCAGGGGTTCAGTTAACACTGTGTCCAGCAGGGGTCGCACGTGGATCGCTCTGGTAGCCAATCAGCGTGCTCAGCCCCTGCAATGCCTGCATGCATCTGAGGTAAACCGGCTCCGCCCACTTCAGTAACTGTGCTTCCCATTGGGTGCCGTGTGTCACTGACTAAAAATGGTAAAAGAGAGGGAAAGTAGGCTGGCAGGGGGCTTGTGAGGGACAGTGTTTAGAGACTGTAAACTGGGAACTTCTGCCTCAGGAGCCATCAATAGTGAGGGTCCAAGAACTGCTCCCCCCTCAGACACTCAGTGTGCCATTATTATTATTATTATTATTATTATTACTATTACTGCTGTGATTTCTGTAGTAAGACATTAGGGCTAGCACTGATTTCACAGAGAGTCAATCACCCTATTGGTGCAGAAGGTGGAGGAATTAATGTTTATCTGGAATATTGGACTGGGGAGAGTTAGTGATATGTAGGGGGGACAAGAACTGAAAATGGAACTAATAATGTGGGATCTTTGTAATGGCTGCAGTGGGTATTGCCTCATACAGAGCTTGTGGAAGTTGCCCAGGGCCTGTAGGGACATACGGAGCAAGTCGGGGTAAAGGCAATCAGAGCAGGTGGTTAGTACAGAGCCTGTCGTTTATACAGGCTTATCGCATGAGAGGGCAGGAAGGGGGCAGCTGGTGCAGGCTAATCGTATGAGAGGGCAGGAAGGGGGCAGCTGGTGCAGGCTAATCGTATGAGAGGGCAGGAAGGGGGCAGCTGGTGCAGGCTAATCGCATGAGAGGGCAGGAAGGGGCAGCTGGTGATCGCATGAGAGGGCAGGAAGGGGCAGCTGGTGCAGGCTAATCGTATGAGAGGGCAGGAAGGGGGCAGCTGGTGCAGGCTAATCGCATGAGAGGGCAGGAAGGGGCAGCTGGTGCAGGCTAATCCATGAGAGGGCAGGAAGGGGCAGCTGGTGCAGGCTAATCGCATGAGAGGGCAGGAAGGGGGCAGCTGGTACAGGCTAATTGCAGAAGGGGGCAGTTGGTATAGGCTAATTGCATGAGCAGGCAGCAAGGGGGCAGTTGGTACAGGCTAATCGTATGAGAGGGCAGGAAGGGGGCAGTTGGTGCAGGCTAATTGCAGAAGGGGGCAGTTGGTATAGGCTAATTGCATGAGCAGGCAGCAAGGGGGCAGTTGGTACAGGCTAATCGTATGAGAGGGCAGGAAGGGGGCAGTTGGTGCAGGCTATTTTGACATGTACAAAATGGGGGTTCATTGAAAATACTACATAGATTGTCAATCAGTCTCTACTGCGCCTTTTATTGCAACTTGGCAGTAAGGCGCAGTAGAAGCAGCAATTTACTTCAAAAATAGCGTATACTGCTATGGTTGCAGTATGGTTATGGTATTCTATCTATTTAGAGTTATGAAGAATGTCATAAAAGACTGATGGAATGGAAACTTAGAGTTTGCATAGAGACATATGTACTGGATGAAAATAAATTGAATAACTAAATTATACATAATTTCAGAATTGCATTCGTTTTTGTTTCGGTTTTCAGGGACATTACAAAATTACCATAATACAATTTTATTAATAGTGATTGGTTCTTGTGCTACATAGCTGTGAAACACCAATGTATCAGCCACTAGGTGGCGCCATTAGCTGTAAATAGAAGTTGTCATCCAAACAAATCAAAACAACACCTGGAATTTGAGCTATATGTCTGTTCAACCATAATTCACCTCTTTCATATTAAGTCCATAAGGATGCATGACAAAAATTTTGATTCATGCTTTTCCTTCACTTCGGTCATGCAGTAATTTTCCAACAGGTACTGTTTTCATGTTGGAAACTGGGAACCCCAGGTATCAGGGCCGATCCTAGGGTCACAGACGCCTAGGTGCAGAATTTTTTTTTGGCACCCCTTGTGGGTGTGGTCATTTTACTAACTCTTCCCCCTTGTCAATGTCTAAGAGAGACACATGACAAACGCATACTGGCAGACACACTCTCACTGATTTGAAACACACACACTGACAGACAGACACACTCACTGACAGACACAAATATTTACTGAATCAAAGACACACCTTTGCTGCAATCCTCAATGCCTGTATTGATTGAGAAAGGTAGTGGTCGTTTTCAGTAAGATTGCTGTGCATATGTACTTTTGGACAGGGCACATCGCTTATATAGCTTGAGGATGTAAAACAAATGGTTAAAACAAGTGCAAAAACGGCGCTTGAAAAATCAATCTTAAGAATATATATATATAATATGTAGCAGCACCTCTTTTAAGAGTGAGTCCTAACCCTTATCAATACAACAAAAATATATATAAGACGTGTGCTGTGTCTTTAAGTATTTAAAAGTGCAAATGCAATTCAAATTTCATGCAAACGATTAGTGTAACTCTTAATATAAATTACTATATACCATACACCTTTTATATATCATACAAGTGAAAGTGCACTGTGCATAGATATAATATGCCAAACGTGCAAAAAGGTAAAAAAATACTTGTACAAGCACAACGTAACCACCAGCAAGCGGGCCTACCTCACAGCACCGAGCACAGCCACCGCCACCGCCAAAGAGTGCCCCAGCGAACCGGACAAAGACATCACCTACCGTCAACATCAGCACAGATCTTCATAGAGACAGGCGGCCGAGAAAACCAACGACACCCACAACGTTCCACCTTGCTCGGCCCCAGCAGGACTCTCAAGCACCCGCAAAGCTCTCTCCTAAGTGGGGCATAGGCTGACAGGGCACCCACACCCCAGGAGAGCCCCTACATAGTGCCTCTGCTGCTCAGGACGCTACCCAGACCCTACAACAGCCTCCTCAACCGAGATTGGCTTAAAACTTAAGTAACCCTCAATGCCTGAATGTGTTTTATCATTCTTGTTTTTCCCTTCAGCGCTTAGCATTTTTATACCAATAATCTCCTAATTGTACCATATTATGTTATTCATATGAGGCCTTGTCCCCATAGGGCCTGTTACCTGCTACTCACATATTGCTAAGCCTGTTGCCAGGCACTCTCTTGAGTCCCTCTACCTTTCTTTTTTTTTTTTTATTCTTTATTTTTGCGTGCATGAAAATATAACAAGTGGGCTCGTCATGCCCCAACAGCTTGACAAGCATATAAACAAACACTTAACCATTGGGTTGCATGTAGAATATTCTGCACATTTTTGTAGAGTAGTGTTTGAGTAAACTATAGTTAGCTTGTGCACATAGTAAAACAAGTTGAATATAACTGTTGCTTTAGATTAGTTAACGAGTACTATAAGACATGTTTTGGTTGATGATGTGGTTAGTGTATATGCGATCAATCAAGTAAGTTAAGCAGCAGGCTATGTGTTGCAGCAATAATCATAATAACCCCTGCAGGCATTCGACTAGATAAGTATGGGATTGTGCAAAATGTGTATGTGTCTGAGCTCTAAGCTTCATTCAGTTAAGTGATTGACAGGTTGTTCCTAGTCTTAAATTGACCTAGTAGCGCCAGAAACCACTGGCTCTGCATCCATGCAGTGCTTCAGTGAGCAAAGCAGAGATCCAGTTAATGCTTAGGACCTAAGTGGCAAAAGGCTGCGCTTAACAATAAAAACAGAATATAAACAGGTCTGAGAATATGAGTATCATATGTATGGTAGGGTATACAAGCAGTTAATGTCAATGGCTAGCGATCGGGACACATGTCAGGCTGTGTTGCCAGATGTGGCAAGGGACAAAAGTGGCATCAGCCTGAGTCTCACATGTGTAGATCACCCTATTCCCACTCTCACCGCACCAGTCCCACTGAATGACCAAAGTTCATCGGTTCCTTCCATGGCCGGTCATGGATGAGCTCTTTGCTTTTCCAGTCCTCCGGTCAGCAACCCTGCTGCGTCGCGGGGGGTGTCTCGGTATAGTCCATGCGTTCCCCCATGTGGGTTAGTGCCTTGCTGTTTAGCAGTTGCTGGGGTTGCCGCGTGTTCGGCCTGTCGCGTGCAGCAGTGTGTCTTGCTTTGAAGCCTGGGAACAGGAATAGTGCTGCCTGGGGAGCATGGCGCTGTTTCCCGCCTTGTAGTTTTGCGGCTACTTTTCTCTCGGGATGCTGCTCCTTAGTCGCGGGTGAGGTTTTCCCGCAGACTGCGCTGGGTAGTTGGACGGATCCATGCTTCCACGGCTCTTATTGCCTGTCTGAAGAGTTGTCTCCGGGCACGCAGCTTCGTCCAGAGGTGTACATAGAATTCCGTGATGTGTTTGGGTGGCTTGGTGAGTGTGTGCCTTGTCTTAGTCTGCCGCTGGGCCGCCATCTTGGTTAGGCCCTGATGGTTCTGGGTGCTTAAGGGTTTCGTCGCTCGGGTTCTCAGCGATATGGGGGTATTCGCCCCCAGCGAGGACCGGGATAGGGCCGCCGGTCCATAGGGGGGGGTGGCAGGGCTGGTATATATTCTCACTGGTGAGCGTGTCCCGGGCCGTGGGATTGGCCGCCTCCCCCGGACCACATGTCCCGCTCTGGCGTAGGCCGCATGGCCGGTTTCAGCTTTTCTTCGGCACTCTGGTGCCGGGCTGGTATCATTTTAAAGCTTGTGTTGTCCCGTGCCCTTTGCTGGTCACCGTGTGCCGTTAGTGCTATCGGACTGCTCAGTATCTCCGCTCTTTGGTCTGATGCTGCAGGAGCTCTGAGATTATGCGGCCGGCCATCTTGGCTGTCAGGCCCCACCCCCCCTCTACCTTTCTTATACTCTTGTCTTATAAGCATGTACCATATCAAAGTATTCATGTCACCACACACACCTGTGCGACTCATAGTCACCGCTACACTCACACGCCTAAACACACAGGTCATACATGTAACAATAGTGCACTAACTATCTCACTAAAGATGTGTGCAGATACTTCTTGTATTTTCCTTTAATTTAAAAATGTGCTTATGCAGCAAAATGAAGCAAAGTATTAACTTTCGAAGATCCATGCCTTACGCAACCTGTTTCATTGTAATATTTGCATGTTCTTGCACTCGTTATTGTGACGATGCAGGAGAATTAGTTCACTTGTGCACAATAAAAATAAAGAATTTAAAAATACTTATACCACAGTATGCAGAATATCAGCATCTGATTACTCTTTTGATGAGAAACGATATTCTCATATTAAAGAAAGGAAGGGGGAACAAAGAAGGGAAAAAAATATAGTGTAAAATCGTATGTCCAAGAGTATACTTTAAAAATATAGAATGTACACTCACAATAGCAGAGCTGTTGAGTCTGGCTCCAATAGATATTCCCAAAACGGAAATGCAGGCAGGGAACACTGGCAAGTTGGTTAAAATCATAAACACAACTTTATTGCATATAACTTTTAAAATATCAGCTGTCCGGCAGGAGGACCCTTTTCCCTGTGTATACGCCGGAGCAAAGTCCTGGTAGATGTCGGAGTCTGGCCAAGATCTCCGGTATACCGCAATGCTTCCGGGGGCAGGGTTTCCTCCACTGGCGTGCGTGCTGACGTAGGTAGGTGCAATGACGCGTTTTGCCGTGACGACGGCTTCCTCTGATCTGCCTTCCACTTGCCTGAACCTCCCTTATATGGCCAGCCTTAGTAGGCGTGTCTATCAATCCATATCGGAGCAATTGTGTTATCTGTATGTCACACTAAATTAGTTCATATTAAAGTCTCAGTGTCCACTGACATACTTTGTGCACTCAGAGTCTTTTTAACCCCTTAAGGACCAAACTTATGGAATAAAAGGGAATCATGACATGTCACACATGGCATGTGTCCTTAAGGGGTTAATAATATTTACTGAATTCACTAAGTGAGGTTGATGCCCCATTCATTAATATTTAGTCCCTGTAGGAAAGTCTCTAGACTAGACCTGGACCCATTCCAAATAAAGATGAAATCATCAATATACCTGCGATAGGCAGCATAGCATTTCAGCACATTTAAAAAAATATCATAATACGACCCAGCCAAGATACTCCCTTATCTTCCCATACTTTTAGTTGTTTATTTAATTTATGCAGCAGTGGTATATGATTTTCTTTAATAATCAAGCTTTGTGTCTTAGTGAGTTTTATACCCAAATATGATATTGACGTAGTGCGCCAATCGAATAGATATGTATGGCTAGGGCTTGTATTATTTTTATAATACTAAGGGATCAGATAAGAATAGTAATACGTCATCCGCAAAAAGCGCCACTTTCATGTCTCCTGCTGGTCTTAGTAGGCACTTGATATTATTGTGTTTCTTGATATATAATATTAAAGGTTCAAGACACAATATGAATATCAGCGGAAAGAGAGGGCAGCCTTGTCTTGTTCCATTTGTTATATTGAAAGAAGATGAAAGAAAACCTGAGCTATAAACTCTTGCTGAAGGGTTTTTATACAAGGTCATATTCCGGCTCCGGCATCACTGCGGTGTGCACGAGGGAGCTGAACAGGAGGATCAGTGTTCCCTCGACGCCTGCCTGGGTAGCTTCGCCACTGCCAGCCTGGGGGGCCCTGAGGTGGCAACACAGCCAGCTACTGGGCCCCCCAGGTCAAGAGGCTGGCAAGGCATTTGCCAGGGCAATTGGGGGGCGGCTTTTTTTGCTGCTCCCCAGAAAGTGCCGCCCAAGGCAAATGCCTTGTTTGCCTCGGTGTAAATACACCCCTGCATACATACATTGAATCAATGGAATTCATCACAACATATTATATGGGTACACATCCAAATTGGCAGTTAAATGTCAGTGTGGCAGTCAGAAAGGAATGTTGCAACGTTGATGGAAGACGTTTCGAGCACTTATGAGATTAAATAGTGTTAAATAAATAGAATTGTAATACAATGCAAATAAACTATACGGTATACCTATGTTTGGGCCACCCTGTATAAAATGGATTCTCTATTGGGAAAGGCTGGCAACTTTTGGACTTGGGACAAGTACACATAAGTGGCTTTTTTAGGGCACAAAAATCACCAATCTCTGTGTCTATGAGCCTACTCATAAGGCAGCATTTGAAGTATGTATTTGCAGCTACCCTCATTATGACCGGCACAGCATAATGAAGCAATGACAGGAGATATGTTCATGACACAGTGTCCTTATTGTCACCAATGCCAAACCAGTCTGTGTTATGGCTATCCTGAGTCCCCCTCTTTTAAAAATATGTTTTTATTATATACACTACACTCATTGGTGTTGGAATCGCTCACATTACTCATAAATAACAGAAGATGTATTTAAAATATATTGCAGACACCAGCCGGGCAGAATTTACATATAAGCCCCAGAGCACATACCGAGCATGCGCATTCACATATCAGTCTGACAGTATTGACTGTCCATACAGGGTTCACATCACCAGCATCAAGCCCGGAGCACACAACAGCTCACTCAATCAGCATCAAATGAACTGCATTTACAATATTTTCATTCAGATATATTTATGCACATACCAATAATTATTTAATTCCTTTACCTAATTAGCTTTTGATATGTCTATTAGAAGGATATCCAAGTATCTGTTGCCTTTCTACCAAGCCAAATATCCAGAAATTATTTTACCTGTTCCCCTTTAATAATAATGGGTTGTAACCGTTAGTTGCTTTATTTGTAGATCTATTCATGCGATGCTTGGAAATAAAAGCACTTGCCAAATCATTAAATAAAAACATAACAATATTCTCTTGCAACAAATATCAGAAGATGCCATAGGGAAGGATTTGCTTTATCTGCCAGAACAAAATGCAATCACTGTTGTGAGTTGGGGTACAGTGCTTTGAGGTATTATTAATCTTTACAATGGCTTTGTTTTACCCAGGATCTTCCGAAAGAGGCGTAAACCGTTAACGCTTAGACAACTACAAATTGAAAATATGGAGATCCAGTGCAATGAATCAGATGTAGAGAATGCAACTGGGATTGTCAGAGAGAAGATTACAACTTCAGTCGAGGTCAGTGATGTTTATTATCACACATTGTAATATCCATCCACAGGGATGGCAGAAATATTCCACCCAAGAGACGAAGTAGACACAAATTGCCCACTTTTTTTTTTTTTTACTTCTAAAAGAGCACTATTGAAAAACAACTATCAATTGTTGGCTTTTTAGGGGGGTGGCTTAGATTTGTTTTAGAACATTTTCATGGAATACAAATCTGGTAACTAAAGGTAGTATTTTTAGTTGGTGCAGTTTTGAAAACTCCATAGTGAGTTTACCGAGTATGTGATATCTCACAGGATAAGACGTTGGAGTATGGCGAGTAAATCTTCCCTATACTGTCAGTTATGGGTATGGTTCTATTCAGTCTGTTAGCCCAGGGTTATTCACAAAAGTAAGAAATTGAATTTCAATTTAAGACACAAATAGTTAAACTGGCAACATTCTCTAAGTCAACTATTCTTCCAGGTTGGCTACTATGTCCTTAAATTTGAAATTCACGCTATATGTGAAAATTGTCATAAATTCAAAGTAAATTTCATATTTTAAGGTTTAACTAAAAATAAAAATCTTCACGTCAACCATGCTTTCAGTTTGGCAATTTTGGCATTAAACTTGTAATTCACTTTACATTCTCGACAGTATACACATTAGTGGGTACCCCCCAATGTGTGTATAACATGGAATTCCATAGTCTCTGGTCGCTACAGTGCTACAATGACTAAAACAGCTGTGGCAGTCATAATAATGTGTGTTCCTTTAATATAAAATTTTAATTGCAAAACCCATCACTTGTTATTATCTACTGTCCACCAGTTTAAATGGACATTCTCAGTACTAGAGCCAAAACGACTCATTATAATAGTTAGGTAGAAGGAATAATTGGGGGTTCTCCCCCTGTTTTCTATTAAATCATTTTTGAGAGGTTTCACAAAAAAAGGTGCCTTCCTGGCATTCAAAGCCCAACCCATCTCCTACAGCTCAAATAATGAAAAAGTTTTGTGTTCGCATTATCTGCACAAAGCTATCTAATGTTACAGTACGATCTGCTCTCTTTACAGCATTACACTAAATTGTGATTTAGTATTTTCTTGTAAGATGAGTGGATCTGTTTATATTTTCGCTGTATTATAGGTAAAAATAATTACTAATGGGATTATATACGACGATCACATGGTTTCCAGAAAACAGAACAAATAGGCTTTTCATTCTGCTAATTGTAGCTGTCACTCACTTTCAATCCATCTTAAAATATGTACAGTAGCCCCTAATTAAAGTTCCTGATTCCAAGCTTTTAAGACTAGCAGAGTGGTAACCCACAGCCAGAGTTGTTACTTGAAATCAACGGGATCTCATTACCTCCCCTCAGCCCCTCCATGTGTCTTGTTTCCCCCCTAGACCCTCCATCTGTCTCATCCTTCCAGCCCCTACATAAGACCCAGTGCTTCTCCCCAAGTGTCTTATTCCCTCCTACCCAGCCCTCCATGTATCTCATTCCCCCCCCAGCCCCTTCATGTGTCTCATTTCCCTCAAGCCCCTCCTTGTGTCTTATTATCTACCCCAAATGTCTAAATCCCTACTCCTCCAGCTTTTCCAGGTGTTTCAATCCCTTCCAGCCTCCGCCCCCATGTGTCTCATTCTCCTCCAGCCCACCTATGTGTCTCGTTCTCTCCCCCAAGCTCCTACATGAGTCTCATTCCCCCAACCCCTCCATGTGTCTTATTATTTTCCCCCCAACTCCTCCATGTGTCTAAATCCCTACTCCTCCAGCTTTTACAGGTGTCTCAATCCCCACTCAGCCCCTCCATGTGTCTCATTCTCCCCTAGCCCATCTATGTGTCTTTTTCTCTCCCACCAAGCTCCTCCATGTGTCTTTCACCTTTCCAATTACTGACTCCACCTGATTAACTGCTCCCTATTTGTAAACATCGAGTGATGCATTATTTCCTATTATTCCTATTATTATTTCAATAAGTTCTGTCCCATGTGATCTATTAGTCTTTGACTTACTCTCTACCAATACTTGTAAATTAAAATTTCAACTCACGATATAAAGCTCTATAAAAGGAAACTGATAGATATAAAAATGTACAGGTGCATCATTTAAAGATAGCATTTTTTAAAAAGTATTTAGATATGTCTCCATAGGCAACAAAAACAAATACAAGTTTTGTTTCTAGAGAAATTGAAACTTAACTCAAGCTGTTTGAGCCAGTTCTTCAGTGTTAATGGTGGAGATAGGGCATGACCTCCACTACTTACAAAATATCTACGTAATTTGAAAGAAAATACGTTATTCGCTCCCTTAGTTACTCCCATTTAGGCGTCAAAATCAATTTCAGGGTTTGAATAAATGGGACCTGTCTTTCCATATAACCAGTCAGTTGTCATATCTTCTTGTTAAGGTACGTACTGTATGTTCAAAATGATAAATATATTCAGAAATTGATATATCTGTTTATGTTCCTGTATGCTTATAATGTATTGTGTGATAGTGTTTAATTTAAGTTAGGGCTGTCTTTATGTAACATTAGAACATTATTTAAGATAAGAATATCCACAATTGTAATTTTTTTTTATATGTTTTTTATATGTTTATGCATGTTCTCTGTGTGCAAAACAAAAACTTTCTCTCATATACTAAAATACTTTCTTCATATGCTCTTTATTTGTACAAATAAGATATTTTGCACATACACTATTTTACATCTAGCTCTTTATTGTTTCAAATGGGTGATTTATTTTCACAAGTTTATAGTGAGCTATACCTTTATTTGTTTCTACTAAGTGTCCCACTATTAAAAAATATACATGTCCATTAGTGAATGTATGCTTCTTAGTGAATTTAACTGTGTATTATTTAGGTCAATAAGATAAATTATTCAACTAAGATTTTTTATTCATAAAAAAATGCAATAAAAGTTTTCACAATTACAGCCTTACATCTACGGTCAATATACATGTATGTATTGCCTAGTAAAACATAAATATGCCTTCTTTGTTATTGATTCCTTTAGTTCTTTTTTATGCTTTTATTTATTTATTTTTGTTAGCTTTTGTTTCCTGTTGAAAAGCTAGAATACAGGGAATCCTCAATTCTTGATATTTGACATTCTTCATATATTTGAAATCCTTGGTATGTATATTGCATTTTACCTGTAAGACATTTTCACAAGATGACTGTTCTTTTTATAATTATTATTATATATTTATTTATCCAACAGGTAAGCATAAGGGGGCAAGTTTAAAGAAAAAAATATTGACTCTGACACTACACATACACAACACACACTCAACACAACAGTCAATGACACCCAAATTTCCCTACAAGACACTACACTCAGACTCCACACACAAAATTCAGTTACCATTTACAACACCCAACCAGCACACGTAAGCACACAGCCTCTTTTATTTCAGATTTGCCTGAAATTGATCATTATTAAGTATACATTTATTCACAAAGCATTAGCTTAAGTGGAAGGTGCAAAAATCAGTAAGTTAAGAGTTAGCATTTCACCATTTGAATAACTATGTAAAAGATAATTCGTCAGAATCGGTGCTACAAAAGGAAACTGAGACATATATATATATATATATATATATATATATATATATATATATATATATATATGTATGCACTTTGAAAAGTATACATTCTATTGAAAGTATTTAGATACTAGATATGTGCAATCTGTTTCGGTCTGAATTAAAATTCGGACAAATTTAGGCAATTCTGACATTCGGATGCTGCCGAATTTCCAAAGTGCCAAACCAAATTGTCGAAGTTCTGAATTGCCGAAGTGCCGAATTTCTGACTAGCCACAGTGCTTCGGATTTCTGAAAAGTGGCAAAACAGGAGAGGGAGGGAAAATTAAGGGAATGATGACAGGACCCTACGGTACCACTACTCCTAACCCTTACCCCAACCATCTCTAACCCTACCTCTAACACTACTAGGGTTAGGGGTAAGGTCAGGGTAGAGTTAGAGGTAGGTGTAGAAGTAGGGCAGGGGTAGGGTTAGGGATAGAGGTAGGGTTATGTTAAGGGGTAGGGTTAGGGGGGGTGTTAGGGGTAAGGTTAGGGGGAGTGTTAGGGGTAAGGTTAGGGGTAGAGGTAGTGGTAGGGTTAGAGTAAGGGGTGGAGGTAGGGTTAGGGTTGGGGGTAGGGTAAGGGGCACCTCCTGGACAGCATCCATTTTACATTCATTGTGAATCTGCATTCTTAGTGAGCTGTTCAGGAGGTGGGAGGGTCTGGGAGGGAGGGTCTGCTGCTGATTGGCTGGAATGTGTCTGCTGACTGTGAGGTACAGGGTCAAAGTTTACTCAATGATGACGAATAGGGGGCGGACCGAACAGCGCATATGTTCGCCATCCGTGGCGAACCATTCGGTGAACCATTCGGGACATCACTAGTAAGGGGTAGATATAGGGGTTAGGGTAGGATAAGGGGTAGAGGTAGGGTTAGGGGTATCGTTGGAGTAGGGTTAGGGAATTCCTGAAGTCCCAAATTGCCAACGTACCGAACCGAGCCGAAGTGCTGAATTGCCGAAGTCCAAACTAGACCAAAGTCCCGAATTTCGGAAGTGCCGAACCGAGCCAAATTTTTTGCCCTATTAGATACATTCCCATAGGCAGCAACAACTACTACAGATTTTGTTTCTAGAGAAATTGAAACTTAACTTTACCAGTTGAGACCTGTCTTTCAATATAATCAGTAGGTTGTCATATATTCTTCTTAGAGAGTCACTCCAGACCCCTAAAGCACTTTAGCTTGCTGAAAAGCTTTGTGTTCTCTCTTATAAATTTTGCTAAGATGCTGATTTCAATAAAAACTGACATTTTTATAAATTAACCTGGTTATACCCCCTGACTTTCAATCAGACAATCAGTCCTGTTACTTCCTAGTTTGTTTTGCTCAGTGGAGCTAAATTCAAGGAGCAGCAATTGCATAGATCACCTGTCTTGCAAAGACTTCTCATTGAGCTGCATAGGAAAGTCTGTGATTGGACAGCCACTGTAAGCATGCGCAGCATTAGGAAGGAGGGTTTGCTAAGAGAAATGCAGGTTTTGTAAGAGGTTTTTAGATAGACCCCCAGTGAATAAATACATAATTAAAAGCATGCAGGGAGACAGCCACTAGAGGCTGGATTAACCTTGCAATGTAAACATAGCAGTTTCTTTGCTACTTGGACAAATAGACACACAGAGGAGCTGGGGGGACACATATATACACAGGAACTGGGGACAAAGAGACACACAGAGGGCTAGGGGGAAAAAAGAGAGACACAGGACTGGGGGAAAACAAGAATACACATAAAGGACTGGGGAAACAAAGAGAGACACACAGGACTGGGGGAAAACAAGGAGACACATAAAGGACTGGGGGCACAAAGAGACAAACAAAGGGGCTGTGGGGACAAAGAGACACACAGATTGGCTGGGGGGACAAAGAGACACACAGAGGACTGGGGGACAAAGAGACACACAGAGGGCTGGGTGGACAAAGAGACACAGATTGGCTGGGGGGACAAATGTCACATTGTTTCTAGTAAAATAGAACAAACAAGCTCTTAAATAAAATAAAATGAAATAAATAAAATATATAAAGAAATGGGGACACGCATAGTGGCTGGGGGACAAAGAGACACAGTGGAGCTAAGGGGACATAGAGACATAAAGAGGACTTGGGTGACAAAGAGACACACAGATTGGCTAGGGGACAGAGAGACACACAGATTGGCTGGGGACGATGACAAATACACACAGAGTGGTTGGGGGGACAAAGAGACACACAGATTGGCTGGGGGCACAAAGCGACGCAACGAGGACTAGGGGGCTGATGTCACCTATATACATATGAAATCACTGACAATGACCACTGCAGGGTTCTCTGACATTTAAAACATTAGTATGAATAATAATCCTGCTAACCACTTGATTACACTAGGCAGGACTGGGGGAACAAAGACACACACAGAGGACTGTTAGGACAAAGACACACAGAGGGCTGGGGGACAAAGAGACACATGGAGGGGCAAGGGGGGACCAAGAGACACACAGAGTTGCTGGGGGAACAAAAAGACACATAGAGGACTGGGGGACAAAGAGACACACAGTATTCACTATTGAAGCCACCAGAAATGTATAATGGAGGCTAAAACAAAGTTCTAACTATGAGGACGACTGAACATGTTTCGCATCTGTTTCATGACTTAAGCTATTTTAGTGTAACAATGTACATTAGAAGAACATTATAGGCGCCCATATTACTTAATCTCATTGAAGTTATCTGTGTGCAGTGTCCCTGTCCCCTCGAAGTGAAAACATTGTAGTTTCAGAGAAGAAGCAATGTTTACATGTTTAAATTGCAGTTTTAAGTACATCTTAGAGGCACTTTCTGGCTTCTCACTGAGTTTTACTCCATGAAGCGACATTGGATGTCATCACTTTTTGCACCAGGACGTCCACTGTCTTCAACATTTCCAATAGGAAAGCAGTGCTTCAATTCTTTCTTAAGATGAAGGTCTAATGAGCTTGCAGTTCTCACCGCACATATGCATTATGTCCTCCACCAGCATTACGTCGTTGGTGAAGGAGAGTGATCCAGCTCTGAGGGAGCTCGGTGCTGGAACTAAAGTGAGTGAAAAAATGGTTTTCAACCCCTTTTGTGCTTGCAAGTTAGGGGGACCTAAAGCTAGGGTGCGGGGCTTACTACATTATTAGGAATACAGTTTTGTATTCCTAACGCTATAGTCTTTCTTAAACACATTCCCGACAAGCCTGAGTATAAGTGTGTTCACTAATTCTAAGTATCACTATGTAAAAAGAAAACAGCACATATAATGGTATGTGTTTCAGAGCTGGCTTCAGGGCCGGACTGGGAGAAAAATTCAGCCCGGGCATTTTTTTAACACAGCGGCCCACTAAGAAGGGGGCGGGGCAGAGGAGGTGTGTTTTGTCATCACCAATGACAAACACGCCTCCTCTCAAAGTGAGCATGTTGGTTCAATGCTCTTCCAGGGCAGACCATGCGCAGAGCTCTGCTGAAGAGCTCTAGCATGAGAAAAAAGTCCTGTATTTGTTCTGCACAGTGCAAGCAAATTTAATAACATGCTTGCACTGTGTTTCCTTGCAACTTGTCTCTGGTGTCTCTATAAATGGATACCAGGAGACAAAAATGCCAGGAAAGAGTATTGTGCATGTGTTTGGAGCCTGCTTGTGGTATTGCGTGTGTGTAGAGTGAGCTGATTGTGGTGTGGTATTGTGTAATAAGGTTGGTTTTAGTCATGTTGTGTTTGTGGTGTAAAGTGGTGTAATGTGATGCATATGTGTCTATGGGCTGTAGAGAATGTGTGTATTGGGGATATAGCAAGTGTGTGCATACAGGCTATAGTGTGTGTGTGTGTATATAGGTGATGATGTGTGTGTTTAGAGGTGTAGTATGTGTTTGCTTACAAGGAATCTAGTGTGTGTATAGGGGCAATGTTTACATGTTTAAATTGCAGTTTTAAGTACATCTTAGAGGCACTTTCTGGCTTCTCACTGAGTTTTACTCCATGAAGCGACATTGGATGTCATCACTTTTTGCACCAGGACGTCCACTGTCTTCAACATTTCCAATAGGAAAGCAGTGCTTCAATTCTTTCTTAAGATGAAGGCAGGGCCGGCGCTACCTGTAAGGCGGACTAGGCAGCCGCCTAGGGTGCCCCTTGGGAGGGGGCGCCGCCAGGAGCGCCGGCCCCGCTCATGCTGCAGCCGCCCGAGCGCTCTGTGAAGAGCATCGGGCGGCTGCAGCTTTGCCCGGGCGGTGCGTCCATGAGGGCGGACCGCACCGCCCGGGCGCAGCCTGAGGAGAGGCTGACAGGAGGGACACGCTCAGCGCTGAGCGCTCCCACCTGTCAGCTCCCTCTCTGTAGCGTGGCCGAGCCCTCTATGGCATGGTCCGACCGGTACAGAGAGCAGCTGTCTCCTGTACCCGGCCGGACTAACAGGAAGTGCACACTGAGTGTTCACTTCCTGTTAGTCCGGCCGGGTACAGGAAACAACAGCTCCCTGTACCGGTCGGACTATACTGGGCTCGGCCACACTACCACACAGGTAGGGGAGGGAGGGGGAAGAAAGAGGGAGGAAGGGGGAGAACAAAAAAAAAGAGAGGGAGGGGGAGAAGAAAGAAACAGGGAGGGAGGGAGGAGAAGAAAAAAACAGAGGGAGGGGGAGAAGAAAAAAAAGAGGGAGGGGGGAGAAGAAAAACAGAGAGGGAGGGGGGAGAAGAAAGAAACAGGGAGGGAGGGGGAGAAAGAAACAGGGAGGGAGGGAGGGGGGAGAAAGAA